TTTTTCGTAAAACTACCTAACGAATCACCCTCTGAAGTTTCATACTGTACCTAGGAAATATGCTGTACATAAGAAAATAAATTTTACCAGAACTACTGTGTAGGTAGTTGGGAGAGATGGATATTTCAAAATATTAATTTTTTTATACGTATGTGTCTCTTCTCGCTACATCGTCAGACACGTTTTGATCTTTGTTAGAGTATTGGTACATGGGATGTTTCTTCTTCGCATGGGGCTATGTTCACGAGATGCAACTGTTACTAGTTAACAACCCCTCCCTTAGACCAGGGGTCTCCAAACTTTGAAGCCTTCGTGCCATAATGATTTTTTCAGTTTGTTTCAAGGGCCAATTTCTGCCCTCAACTATATTTCTATACTAGGATAGTCGCAAAGTGCGTAATATGCTTAAACTTAGATACTTAAGTTATGTTTTCTTTGTCATCATTTCTGTCGTTAAGTTTTACCTTGCAAGTAAATAAAACCGAGTAATTATCATTCTGTGTTTTCTTTTTCAACTTATCACAGCAATAGTAACAACAATTAGGTAATCATTGGCTGTCGCGGGCCAGATTGATGACACTGGCGGGCCGGATTTGGCCCGCGGGCCGTAGTTTGGAGACCCCTGCCTTAGACGAAGGTTTCATATATGCAGTTAAGCCACGTTGAAATTATTTGCGTCCCAGGCAATTTGCTGTTTGGGTCGGATCTTTCCTGCCCTGATGAGAAAAAATGCCTCGAAACCGGTAGGTGATCTACTCAAATAATTTCAGGATGAACGAAATGCTGCTGCACCAACAAGAGATATATCTGCGAGACTAACCTCTGTGAGGTATCTTGCATGAATGTCTGGCAGATATAACTCAATATCCAGTGTGGTATTAGCAAGGAATGTAGTTGTTTCCCGGCAAACATTTACTAGAACCTTCCGTGTAGGTAGTAAGGAGATATGAATATTTAGATATTTTATTTCGAAATATTTATTTTCTTATACGTATGTAGCTCTCCTCCATACAGTTTTCAGACACGTTTGATCAATACTATATATGTCATAATTCACATGTGCATAAAACATATATCAATTTATGAAATAATATTGAAGTTATTGAAACCATAAAAAGTTCAGTTTCTGGATTTTTGTTTGAAGGTGATTGACAATGTTTCATGATGAATTTCACTAGTTCGGACTCCCATTGTCTACTATATGAAATGATTTGAAATCCCTGAAACAACTAAAAAAGAAGAATTAAAAATGAATGGCTGGAAATAACAATTATTTAAGCAAAAAAACCTTAAATGAAATAATAGTGAAATAAAATACAAGTAAAAATAGAACAATTGAACAAAAAATGAATAAAAATAAAGAAATGAAAAAGAAAATAAAGATAAAAAGTTGAGAGATTCCAAGCCACGTTAGTTCACGACGTTTCGATTGTTAGTATCTACAATCGTCTTCGAGTGATGACTGGACTGATTCCTCCGAGAGATGACTATTTATAGGTCGTTCGAGTACTTTCACTTATCCCCGCTTTCCATTTTCCGCTTCACTGGTTCCGTGGGAGATGACCGTTTTGGCGGGAGTTGGC